AGCCTACAGCAAATATGTCATATAAATCTGACACACCCCCATAGGCAAAGTGGGGGAGAACAAGGGGTCACAAGACCAGTCAAGTAAAGCAAAGCAGAGCAAGCTCAGGGTGGATCACAAAGTCACCACACAGTCCGAGCACAAGAGCAGGGCCAGAGGCCAGTTCACATGCAGGAGTACAGACATATATATATACAAAACTAGACAAGCAAGAGCAGGTATATATATGTCACAGTACAAGTAAAGTCAAGAGGAGAGCAAGTGATGCAAGACAGGCACAAGACCCAGCTGGGTGCAAAAGCGCTGATGGTCACAAGGCATGAGTGCCTTGGTGAACACATCAGCAGTGTTGGCCTCAGAGGCCACGTACGCAAGTCGCAACTGACCACGCTGCTGCAGCTCACGAGCAAGGAAGTAGCGGAGAGCAATGTGCTTCGTTCTGTGTTCCAAACGCTGCTCTCGACACAAGGCCAGCATGGCCTTGTTGTCTACGTACAGCACTGGAGGAGAACGAGGCGGCTCTCCAAGGTCAGTCAGCAAGTAGGTGAGCCAGCGAAGCTCCTCTGCAGCCATGGCCCCGGCGTAGATCTCAGCCTCACAACTGGAGCCGAGAACCGAAGACGAGCGAGTAGACCGCCACGAGACAGACCCGGAACCAAGGCTGAAGGTGTAACCCTGTGACGACCGCTGCGTAGCCTGGTCGTCAGCCCTAGAAGCGTCCGCGTGGCCGGTAAGGACCACTGGACTCCGCCCTCCAAGCACTAGCCCCATGCCCGACGTACTGCACAGGTAGCGCAATACCCTCTTCGCTGCAGCCATGTGCTTTGGTCTGTGTCTCCCAGGAGCAACATAGCGTGCAAGAATGCTCAGAGGGTATGCAAGGTCAGGTCGTGTGCAGGTCATCAGGTACATGAGGCAGCCAACAAGCTCCGCATACGGACCACTCGACTCTACGGACTCATCCGAAGGCAGAGCTGAGAGTGAGTGGCGAGTAGGCAGAGGAGTGGCCTGAGGCGAGGAGTACGTGAAGCCGAAGCGCTGAAGGACCTGCTGCACCATGTGTGACTGAATCAAGGTAATGGTGCGCTGTGCTCTGTCCCGAGTGATCTGCAAGCCAAGGTAGCTGCGCAGTTCACCCAGGTCTGTGCACGTGTGTCTCTTCAGCAGCTCGGACTTCAAGTAGGCGAGTCCAGTAGTGTCCGCTGTGGCAAAGACCAAGTCGTCGACGTACACGAGGATGTAGAACGGCGGCAGGGAAGTGTCGGTGTGAAGAAACAGCGACGGGTCAGCAGTAGAAGGAGCAAACCCAAGGGCCGCAAGCGTAGTCCTCAGTGTGTCGTGCCACTCACGCGGTGCCTGGCGGAGACCGTAGACTGGCCGTCGGAGGCTCCACTGGGTGCCAGGAGGGAAAGTCCCAGTGAAGCCAGGTGGACGGCGAAGCCAGATCTCCTCGTGCAGGCTACCCTGCAAGAACGCAGTGCTGAAGTCGAGAGAGTGAAGCTCGTAGTCGCGCTGAGCGGCTATTGCAGCAGCACCCGAAGAGTAGTCATCTTCGGGGTGGGAGAGAAGGTCTGAAAGTAGTCAACTCCCTGCCGCTGACTGAAGCCACCAGCGACGTACCGTGCCTTGAAGACACGTGGAGAGCCCGGCGGCCGCTTCACCCTGAAGATCCACATGCCACTGACGATGTTCGCCCCAGGAGGGGGAACCGCGTCAACGTAGGTGCCTGTGGACTTCCAGGAAGCCATCTCTGCATCCATAGCTGCCTGCCACTGAGAGGAGTAGGGACCCTCTACGGCCTCCGCGTAAGAACGCGGAGTCGGGATGTCTAGTGCATCCGGGTCTCCCTCAGGGGCAAGCAGTACAGACGCGAGATGAGGTGAAGCAGCCGCTAGACACTGTAACTCCTCCTGCCTATCCTCTAGGACGTCCCTGCCAAGAGCACACTCACCCCCGACGGACGGAGGACAGACAGACGCAGACTCAGCAACAAGACTAGCAGTGTAGTCTAGACATCAGCGAGCAGCAAAGTCGACGAGCTCAGCAACAAGAGCAGACGCGGCTGTGGACTCAAAGGAGGGGTCAGTGACGACAGTAGCAAGGAGACGCGTGATAGTAGGACTGGCAGCACGAAGAGAGTCCGACTCCGGGTCGGTAAGTGCAGAAAGAGAGGAGTCCGGAGGAGAAGGCAAAGGGGCACGCAGAGGAGCAGTGGACGGACGGAGAGACATCCGGTGTGTGCCAGGGACAGGAGGAGGACGCCGACGCGAACCGTGACCACTAGTGCGAGCAGCACGAACAGGCGACGCAGGACAAGACACAGGCTCACAACAGTCGTCTTCTGTTCTCGGCTCCAGTTGTGAGGCAGAGATCTACGCCAGAGCCATGGTTGCTCAGGAGCTTCGCTGGCTCACCTACCTGCTGACTGACCTCGGAGAGCCGCCTCGTTCTCCTCCAGTGCTGTACGTAGACAACAAGGCCATGCTGGCCTTGTGTCAGGTGTCGAAATATGTTATTTATATTTATATAATTGTTAGATTTTTCACATCGGGAGCAGCGCCTGGAGCATAGAATGAAGCACATTGCTCTTCGCTACTTTCTTGCTCGTGAGCTGCAGCAGTGTAGTCAGTCGCGACATGCGTACGTGGCCTCTGAGGCCAACACTGCTGATATCTTCACTAAGGCACTTGCGCCTTGTGATCATCAGCGCTTTTGTACTCAGCTTGGTCTTGTACTTGTCTTGCCTCACTTACTCACTTCTTGACCTTGCTTGTTCTATGACATATATATATACTCCTACTCTTGCTTGTTTAGCCTGTTATATATAGATGTACTCCTGCATGTGAACTGGCCTTCTGGCCTTGAACTTGTGCTCGGAATGTGTGGTAACTTTGTGATCCACCCTGAGCTTTGCTTTGTTTTGCTTGACTGGTCTTGTGACCCCTTGTTCTCCCCCACTTTGCCTATGGGAGTGTGTCAAATTATAATGTTGTGTAGGCTATAGTGGGGTAGCCTATATGGGGTACACATTTCTAGGGTTGCATATTTGTATCACTTTCGTTCCTTAGTCAATCATTCTCGTTTCAGTCTTCTCAAATGGGTATTCAACCAACTAGGTTAGATGGTTGACCAAGTAGCATAGTTCCATTACATGTTTGTTCGAGGTGTGAATTTAATGCATAAATTAATATCGACATGGCATCTGACGGGCTACATGCCACATATTGTAATCGTTGGAGTATCCTTTATTGGAGCCAACTCCCTGAGTCTTCTGGCGCGCATAGCACGAGCTGTATATGGCTTTTGGGATCGCATGCCAACTGAACGGGTTTTATTTTTTTTGCCTCATAAAGAATCATATTGTTATAAAAGTGCGTTGTTAATCTTATCGAATGTCGTAATAAGCATAACAAAAAGTTACGTGCGTATTTATTACCTTACATTCGGAAAATTTGTGTGGAAGGCAAAACGCGATGCGTAAGGATTCGTCAATTTAATTTTCCGCAAAACGAGAAAACATGAAATCATGGTCATGTCAGTCTTGAAATTTTCCAAGTTACCAGTTTTTGGTTACCAAACACGTGAAGCGAGTTTCAAAGGCGTGATGTGAGTTACAAAATGCGTGAACCTTGAGGGTGCATGTTTGACATGAGGTTAGACACGAAGTGAAGTCGAGGAAGACCTGAAGTGACCTGGAACTGTAGCAAATAAATGTTAGGAAGACCCGAAGTGGGCCACTTGGGGTCTTCGAACCTCCATCCCAACCTCCACTTCGTGTCTGACACGAGGTAGGAATGCACCCTCAATGTAATGGTTACCGTACGTTTTTTAGTGTCCCATAAAAGTTCACATATTTTCTCAAAACAATTTTTCCAGCGGAGCCAGCGCCAATACACTTACATGGTTATTCAGGGCGCATTCCTGGGTTCGGACACCCTCTGAAGTTTTCCACGCGGCTCACAGATGTTGACGTGACATTATCCAACATTTCAATGTCCCCCCATGCGGCTCGAGTTCGGACACGTTGCGTTCACCCGACGACGGTTTCAACGACAGCATTGCCCGTCTGTGTGCGACCTGAGCGATCCTTCCATAATCTTTTGTTTTCTGCCGCTGCCGTCAAACGTTTTGTTAATGACTGCCCAAAGCACCAAATTGTACTGACAGAAGCGAGGTGTAGCCAGCTTCACAGCTATAACGTTACCTCGTTTGTTTACAATGTTCGGATGTCAGGCTGCTCTGTTTCAATATTAGCGCGGAACTTTGGTCAAAGCGAGTCTTGACGTTCCGATTAGAGTACCCTATTGGTCGCGAAATTACTTCTGTTGGACACCTGTCAGGCGATGCTGGCAACCACTGTCGCCTGCCTAAGTTTGGTTCGGTATCCCAAGTGGGATAATTCCCCGCCAGGACACCATCAGGCTCGTAAAATCGGTTTGATGGTGTCCAGACCCAGGGCTGCGATCTAAACCCTCCACACAGACCAACAACCAACCTTATCCTCACCTCCATACCTGTAGAAGGTGTAGGTATGGTGGTAAGAGGTTCGGAAAGCGGGATGAGGAGAAAGACGGCAGTACCAGCCAATGGCTGTCAACGCATCCGCTCCGAGCCCTACCTTTCCCCCTAACCTCCCTCCAGCCACCTACGTCTCGTGCGTCCTGCCCTACACTCAACCCCCCCTTGTATGTCCGCTGCCAGCGTCTTCTCGTCTGCTTATTTCACTGCCACACGCCCACATGTCGGTGTGACCATAAGTCGCCGCCTATCGCGGTCTCGAGTCCTCCACTCCTACTACTGGTCGCCGACGGTGGTGTAGTTACTAGTAGTAGTAGTACGATACTAGCGGCAGCAGCAGTAGCGTTTCACAGCCACTCGTCGTCATCATCCTGGCGTGAGCCACTGGCAGTGTCGAAATCTAGATCTGAACCGAAGCCAACCGCCGCCAAGTCGATTCCAGCTAGAACCGGCACTTCGATGAGGAATCTCGAGCGCGCATCATGGCTTACCGGCGTCCCAGCACTCCCTGCTGCACTTTCATCAGCGCTCGCCATGGCGCTCTGGCTTGTCGCTTTCAATGCTGCCTCGTCGTGCCACGCGCAACGGATCAATCCTTCACAAGGTACTAAACACTGGACTAGTAGTACCACCGCCCGCGGCCCTCTCGCCCACCTCCCACCCTCTGCTCGTATGGCTTGCGATGCCTCGAGACTATCAGAAGTTGTGAAACTGGGTAGAGGGAGGTAGGAATCCCTTCTCTACCGTGCCTCTCTCCCATGTGCCCGCACGTCGCAGCCTCGTCAGTCGGTGTCGCGGGTCAGAAGTCGAGGGGAGGCTGTCATTGAATTCCGCGTCTTCTCTTTTGCCCTCTCTTCTCCCCAACGCGTCAGCCGCGTTTCTCAAAGACAGCCAGACGGCATGGCAAACGAGGTTACCGGGGTGGGCGGTGGGAGTCAAGTGCATCGTTGCGGAAGGAATCATAAGTTGTGACGCTAAAGGCATGATTACGAAGCTGTGAGTACATGCCGCGCTGTTATTGTAAACCATGGAATAGGCGCTTCCTGCTGCCATCCTCGCACCATCTGCTGCCTGCCAGCCAGCCGCTTCCATCGGCTATCACATTCATCTCCCACCTTCCCTTTATCCTTCTGTTCCCCATTGTCGCTGCTAACATTGCCCCAGGACGCACCGCATCCATCCCATCTTAACCAGGCTTGCAACCTCGTCACCATCGTATTGATCACCTTTTCGTCCAAAGCGTGTTGTGCCCGTTTCCCATCCTCTCACGCCCTCATTACGCCCAATCGACTTTTCGCACACAGAGACCTTTCCTTTTTCGGTAGAACGGGCTCCATCCCCGACAGCATCTCTGCGCTTGTGGCACTCACATATCTGTAAGAAAAACACTGGGTTTGCTCCACCTGCGTGCTGCTCTGTCCACTGGGTGCTGCATGCCATGTGCGCATCACTGCTGGCACTCCTCCTCTGCCCATGCACTCTGCACGCCCACTCCTTCCCACCTCTGCTGTGTGCATTGCTTCACCACGCCGTGTTCCTCCCTCTTGTTGTAGTAATTCGTTCTTATGTCTTGGTTCCTAAACCTCAAAACCCAGTTCACCTGTTTTACTACCACAACTCATAACTGTCACTACCCAATCTTAATCTGTACAGTCTTTGTCAGTCCTCTGCATTTGCTTGCCTTGCTATAGGCCTTCCGAGCTCATCAATCCTAGTAGTAAGTTCCAGCCGGCCAAAGTCCGTAAACAAGGATTTGAGCCTCTCGCCTAACTCACTCACCCACACAGGGATCTCAGCACTAATTCTCTCACGGGCTCCATTCCCGACAGCATCTCTGCGCTCACGTACCTCGTAGTCCTGTAAGAGGTGCACTGGGTTTGCTCCACCTGCGTGCTGCTCTGTCCACTGGGTGCTGCATGCCATGTGCGCATCACTGCTGGCACTCCTCCTCTGCCCATGCACTCTGCACGCCCACTCCTTCCCACCTCTGCTGTCTGCATCTCTTCACCACGCCGTGTTCCTCCCTCTTGTTGTAGTAATTCGTTCTTATGCCTTGGTTCCTAAACCTCAAAACCCAGTACACCTGTTTTACTACGACGGCAAAACTCATAACTGTCACTACGCAATCTTAATCTGTACAGTCTTTGTCAGTTCCTCTGCATTTGCTTGCCTTGCTATAGGCCTTCCGAGCTCATCAATCCTAGTAGTAAGTTCCAGCCGGCCAAAGTCCGTAAACAAGGATTTGAGCCTCTCGTCTCGTCACGTCCAACTCACTCACCCACACAGGAATCTCTTCGATAATTCTCTCACGGGCTCCATTCCCGACAGCATCTCCGCACTCACGGCACTCACATACCTGTAAGAGGTGCACTGGGTTTGCTCCACCTGCGTGCTGCTCTGTCCACTGGGTGCTGCATGCCATGTGCGCATCACTGCTGGCACTCCTCCTCTGCCCATGCACTCTGCACGCCCACTCCTTCCCACCTCTGCTGTCTGCATCTCTTCACCACGCCGTGTTCCTCCCTCTTGTTGTAGTAATTCGTTCTTATGCCTTGGTTCCTAAACCTCAAAACCCAGTAAACCTGTTTTACTACGACGGCAAAACTCATAACTGTCACTACGCAATCTTAATCTGTACAGTCTTTGTCAGTCCTCTGCATTTGCTTGCCTTGCTATAGGCCTTCCGAGCTCATCAATCCTAGTAGTAAGTTCCAGCCGGCCAAAGTCCGTAAACAAGGATTTGAGCCTCTCGTCTCGTCACGTCCAACTCACTCACCCACACAGGAATCTCTTTGATAATTCTCTCACGGGCTCCATTCCCGACAGCATCTCCGCACTCACGGCACTCACATACCTGTAAGAGGTGCACTGGGTTTGCTCCACCTGCGTGCTGCTCTGTCCACTGGGTGCTGCATGCCATGTGCGCATCACTGCTGGCACTCCTCCTCTGCCCATGCACTCTGCACGCCCACTCCTTCCCACCTCTGCTGTCTGCATCTCTTCACAACGCTGTGTTCCTCCCTCTTGTTGTAGTAATTCGTTCTTATGCCTTGGTTCCTAAACCTCAAAACCCAGTACACCTGTTTTACTACCACGGCAAAACTCATATCTGTCACTACGCAATCTTAATCTGTACAGTCTTTGTCAGTCCTCTGCATTTGCTTGCCTTGCTATAGGCCTTCCGAGCTCATCAATCCTAGTAGTAAGTTCCAGCCAGCCAAAGTTCGTAAACAAGGATTTGAGCCTCTCGCCTAACTCACTCACCCACACAGGGATCTCAGCACTAATTCTCTCACGGGGTCCATTCCCGACAGTATCTCTGCGCTCACGTACCTCGTAATCCTGTAAGAGGCACACTGGGTTTGCTCCACCTGCGTGCTGCTCTGTCCACTGGGTGCTGCATGCCATGTGCGCATCATTGTTGGCACTCCTCCTCTGCCCATGCACTCTGCACGCCCACTCCTTCCCACCTCTGCTGTCTGCATCTCTTCACCACGCCGTGTTCCTCCCTCTTGTTGTAGTAATTCGTTCTTATGCCTTGGTTCCTAAACCTCAAAACCCAGTACACCTGTTTTACTACGACGGCAAAACTCATAACTGTCACTACGCAATCTTAATCTGTACAGTCTTTGTCAGTCCTCTGCGTTTGCTTGCCTTGCTATAGGCCTTCCGAGCTCATCAATCCTAGTAGTAAGTTCCAGCCGGCCAAAGTCCGTAAACAAGGATTTGAGCCTCTCGCCTAACTCACTCACCCACACAGGGATCTCAGCACTAATTCTCTCACGGGCTCCATTCCCGACAGCATCTCCGCACTCACGGCACTCACATACCTGTAAGAGGTGCACTAGGTTTGCTCCACCTGCGTGCTGCTCTGTCCACTGGGTGCTGCATGCCATGTGCGAATCACTGCTGGCACTCCTCCTCTGCCCATGCACTTTGCACGCCCACTCCTTCCCACCTCTGCTGTCTGCATCTCTTCACCACGCCGTGTTCCTCCCTCTTGTTGTAGTAATTCGTTCTAATGCCTTGGTTCCTAAACCTCAAAACCCAGTACACCTGTTTTACTACGACGGCAAAACTCATAACTTTCACTACGCAATCTTAATCTGTACAGTCTTTGTCAGTCCTTTGCATTTGCTTGCCTTGCTATAGGCCTTCCGAGCTCATCAATCCTAGTAGTAAGTTCCAGCCGGCCAAAGTCCGTAAACAAGGATTTGAGCCTCTCGTCTCGTCACGTCAAACTCACTCACCCACACAGGAATCTCTTCAATAATTCTCTCACGGGCTCCATTCCCGACAGCATCTCTGCGCTCACGAACCTCCCATACCTGTAAGAGGCACACTGGGTTTGCTCCACCTGCGTGCTGCTCTGTCCACTGGGTGCTGCATGCCATGTGCGCATCACTGCTGGCACTCCTCCTCTGCCCATGCACTCTGCACGCCCACTCCTTCCCACCTCTGCTGTCTGCATCTCTTCACCACGCCGTGTTCCTCCCTCTTGTTGTAGTGATTCGTTCTTATGCCTTGGTTCCTAAACCTCAAAACCCAGTACACCTGTTTTACTACGACGGCAAAACTCATATCTGTCACTACGCAACCTTAATCTGTACAGTCTTTGTCAGTCCTCTGCATTTGCTTGCCTTGCTATAGGCCTTCAGAGCTCATCAATCCTAGTAGTAAGTTCCAGCCGGCCAAAGTCCGTAAACAAGGATTTGAGCCTCTCGTCTCGTCACGTCCAACTCACTCACCCACACAGGGTTCTCTTCAATAATTCTCTCACGGGCTCCATTCCCGACAGCATCTCTGCGCTCACGAACCTCCAAGACCTGTAAGAGGCACACTGGGTTTGCTCCACCTGCGTGCTGCTCTGTCCACTGGGTGCTGCATGCCATGTGTGCATCACTGCTGGCACTCCTCTTCCCATGCCCTCTGCACGCCCACTCCTTCCCACCTCTGCTGTCTGCATTGCTTCACCACGCCGTGTTCCTCCCTCTTGTTGTAGTAATTCGTTCTTATGTCTAGGTTCCTAAACCTCAAAACCCAGTTCACCTGTTTTACTACCACAACTCATAACTGTCACTACGCAATCTTAATCTGTACAGTCTTTGTCAGTCCTCTGCATTTGCTTGCCTTGCTATAGGCCTTTCCGAGCTCATCAATCCTAGTAGTAAGTTCCAGCCGGCCAAAGTCCGTAAACAAGGATTTGAGCCTCTCGCCTAACTCACTCACCCACACAGGGATCTCAGCACTAATTCTCTCATGGGCTCCATTCCCGACAGCATCTCCGCACTCACGGCACTCATACACCTGTAAGAGGCACACTGGGTTTGCTCCACCTGCGTGCTGCTCTGTCCACTGGGTGCTGCATGCCATGTGCGCATCACTGCTGGCATTCCTCCTCTGCCCATGCACTCTGCACGCCCACTCCTTCCCACCTCTGCCGTCTGCATCTCTTCACCACGCCGTGTTCCTCCCTCTTGTTGTAGTAATTCGTTCTTATGCCTTGGTTCCTAAACCTCAAAACCCAGTACACCTGTTTTACTACCACGGCAAAACTCATATCTGTCACTACGCAATCTCAATCTGTACAGTCTTTGTCAGTCCTCTGCATTTGCTTGCCTTGCTATAGGCCTTCCGAGCTCATCAATCCTAGTAGTAAGTTCCAGCCGGCCAAAGTCCGTAAACAAGGATTTGAGCCTCTCGCCTAACTCACTCACCCACACAGGGATCTCAGCACTAATTCTCTCACGGGCTCCATTCCCGACAGCATCTCTGCGCTCACGTACCTCGTAGTCCTGTAAGAGGTGCACTGGGTTTGCTCCACCTGCGTGCTGCTCTGTCCACTGGGTGCTGCATGCCATGTGCGCATCACTGCTGGCACTCCTCCTCTGCCCATGCACTCTGCACGCCCACTCCTTCCCACCTCTGCTGTCTGCATCTCTTCACCACGCCGTGTTCCTCCCTCTTGTTGTAGTAATTCGTTCTTATGCCTTGGTTCCTAAACCTCAAAACCCAGTAAACCTGTTTTACTACGACGGCAAAACTCATAACTGTCACTACGCAATCTTAATCTGTACAGTCTTTGTCAGTCCTCTGCATTTGCTTGCCTTGCTATAGGCCTTCCGAGCTCATCAATCCTAGTAGTAAGTTCCAGCCGGCCAAAGTCCGTAAACAAGGATTTGAGCCTCTC